GTCTTAAATGCAATCAATATTAGAACTTCATTATTCTCAGGGCTATAGACAATTGCTTAAGCATTTTGTGAATATTGTGCAAAATAAGCAATTAAAACATAGAGAGAATCAAAATCATTTATTTCAAAAGGCAATTCAACATGAATACTGAATATTGCTACTTTCAAAAAATGGAAAAAAAAAAGAAAATAAACCATGTTTGGGATGACGCTGAGAAAGAGATTTCAAACAGCCTAGTAGTGTCTGCTTTAGACTATGGCGATAAACTTAAATTCTTAAGATGCTTGTCAGAGCATAACCTGCTTGTCAGGGCATGACCTATAGCTGACTTTTTGGGCCAATGTCAATATAATTTAATATTGTCTTTAACACATAAGTTTGAACACTTGTTCAATAACACAATGGGTCTAAGAAAAAGACCAACGGAACAAATACAGAGGAAATAAGAGTTTAACCTATCCTGTGAGGTATGCTTATGTTCTTGCAAAAACCCATTTAAAATACAATCTCAGAATTTACTGCAATAAACCCTCTGCTGCCAGCAAACCATATAAAACAGTAAGAGAATTTTGAAACACATAAAACTACTTAAAATAGTCCTGTGAGTTAGATAAAAATTTCCTCAAAACTCAAAAGATTTACATGATGTAATCTGCAATGTATTTTCTGCTGTCTGTGAAAATGCAGAATTGACAACATTTGGAAAACAAATGTAAGAACATTTTGAAAAAGTGCATTAAGGCCATTTCGAAACTATTACAGTAGTTAGAACATTTTGACAATATGCATCAATAATATGGATCAAAAACAACATTTAGGGAAGAAACTGTAATAGGCACCTGTGGCATACAAGTTTGCGACTTGCAGTTTACTTCTTAAAATAGTCCTGTGAGGTAGGTTATGTGTTATTTACTTCTATAAAATGTCTGTGAGCGTAGGTTTGTGTTATTTACTTCTTAGAAATAGTTCCTGAGGTAGGTTTGTGTTTTTATTCTTAAAATAGTCCTGTGAGGTAGGTTTGTGTTTTTACATCTTAAAATAGTCTGAGGTAGGTTGTGTTTTTACGTCTTAGTTCCGGTGGGAGTCTGGGTGGGTGTGAACGGCCCTGATTCAAATCTTGTGGAGGAGTGACATACAGTTTGTTAGCCGCTGTTCCTCTGTAGCATTATTCCAGTGTTGCCACTGTCAAACAATAACAAACAAATATTATACAATCAGGAATGTACAATATACCCTCCAAGCTAATGCTTATAAAGCTAATAATACCAGTTCTCTTGTGGCTTAATGTGGCAATGCCAGACTGTCAAAACAATGGACATGGACAAACCGAACTAGCTTAATTCCGTTAGCTCATTGTAAAACACACTTCATTAAAAGTCGACACAAACAAAATAAAACTCACCAAAACTATCTCTAGGCGATGTTCCAAAAATCCTATGGTTTGGTTGAAATAAATCGTTAACCACCGGGCAAGATATAATTATTCCAGTAGCCTAATGCTGTTTTCCATCTGCCAATGCTGGCCTCTCGTTAACAGGTGCTGCTCCTCGGATGCAGACCAAGATTAAAAAACAACAACAAAAAACAAAGTCCTAATATTGTTTCGGCTAGCCTATTCAAATCTAAGCATCACTGATACATATAACGAGACAAACTCCTGACGTTATATCAAACATTCTTGGCAATATCAATAAGATAGCTCACCCACAAGCAAAGAAAATAAGATTTTAATTAACTTACTGTTTAATTTTGTAGATGCAAGACCGGATTGATGGTGATGGAAGACCTTGTGATACTATATGTCCGCTAAATTGGTGCGTCCTGTCCCTCTTCTGGAAAATTTCCAAAAAATACTGTAGTGTCCTGTAATTTAAAACATTAGCATACTGTTTACGGCCTCTGTCCTGTTGCTCCAAGTTAAGAAGCCCACAATGCATTGCTAACTACAGTACTACACTGTTAAACATGAAAACAGTATTTTAGTGTTGAAAATTGGCTGTAAATTTACAGCAATTGCTTACAGTGTACTTATTTGATGTTGGGCAGTTTAACATAGAAAATGGCATTATATTTTATATTCTGATCACATACCCAGTTTCCAGTTTATTCAGTACACCTAGCTAAGTCTAACAGTGTAAAATGTAGGAAAGTTACTGGAAAGAGGGATGGCACCAAAGATGAGAGAGTGTTGTGTATTTTTTCTATTTGAGAGCAGTTCTCTATTATTTCTTGTCTTTTTTTCCCATGTTTTGCATGGTAGAAAAATGCATTTTTCCATCTGTAAAGGACCATAATCTGGTTTTCAGGGATGAATTAGAGTTTCATTTTCTTCAGCATAATCAACTAGCAGCTAATATAGTCAGTTTTAAGAAATCAAATAAATAAATCTTTACACATAGTTCATACATAGAGCTCAACATTTTTCACTATCCCGTAATAGCCTCTATCTTCAGATGTACAGTAAAGTGACGTTTTATATGCAGTTAACCAAGTTCTGCTAAAGGGTGAATTTAAATAAAACCTGCTGACTATGGCTGCAATTGGAATGTTCTTTAGTCCACATTAATCTGAACTAGGGCTGAAATATTATCAAAATATTGCATTATGGCCATGTACAATATTCAAAAATAATGTTTCCCACTAATTGTAAATCATCGTAATATTTGTCAAAACGATCCCAAAATGTTTTTACCATATCGTGCAGCCCTAATCTGAACACACACATTTACATTGTCTACTCTTTCTCAGTTTAACTATCACAGAGACAATTAGATCTGTGTTTATGAACACCATCTCCACTGTAAAACCAAACCAGCTGAACCAGAGCTTGCCGGTACTGTAAGATCACAAGCTGCACACTGGACCCACTCACATGGGTGTTGCAAGTTTTCTCTCAGTCAAGGTCTAAATAAAATATGAATAATGCTGGGGCCTTCTAATAAAGTAAAAACAGCAGGTTAAGCATCCTCCCCACTCTTGTCATTTTTGCACAGTCCCTAATACAGCCTCCAACAATTTAAGCATGAAAAAATATTTGATTTGTGTACCTCAAGAAAGTAACTCAAGTATTTATTGCTAGGGTAACTTGGGTAATTTAAGTAAATTTGACCAATTTCATACATTGAACTTAAAACTACACTCATATGCACTTACATTGAATTTACTTTTCTTCTTCCACTAAAGCTGATTATTTCATTACCTGTCAAAACAGTTGTCTTATGATTAAAAAAAAATACAATTAATCAATGATCAAAATGGTATCCAATTAATTTGGGGGCTTTGGGGCTTACATTTTTGTAAAAATATAAAGTCAACATAAAGAATATGAGTCAATGGAACAGGCTGGAATTATATCACCAAAACTGTACAAATCAGTTATTAATTAATTTTTGAGGTGGATTTAATTCATGTGATTTTTTTGATGATTAAGTTATATTAGCTTACTTCTTTTATGTAGGATTTACAGTGAAGAGGAAACTAATAGCCAAATGCTGGGTTAGTTACTCAAAAAAAACAACAACTACTAACTGTAACACTGCTACTAGTTATTATTACTAGCAATGCCTTACTGCCCAACACTAATAGAATAAAGTGGCATAAATACTGAAGTCGTTCAAGTACCTCAAAATTAGGCTTCAGTACAGCTTGAGTAAATGTTCTTAGTTATATTGCACCACTTTCCACTGCATTTCACTGTCATCAAACCCTTTAGTGAAATACTGTGTGCAAGCATCTGAAGCTGAAGGTCACTTAACCATTATCCCAAATGTGTCATCATGTCCCTCAAGTGCCAGTGTTTGCTCCTCTCTCTGCTCATAAAAACTAATGGCTCATTTTGGTGAACATACACTCTGCCTGTGACTTTTAGAACCAAAACATTTGGGAGGATGGGAGCCCCTGCATGTGCTCTACCACTCCCCTTCCAGCTGAGCGGCTACTGTAGCTGCTATAAGAGCCCTCCCTGTCATGAGGACTATCACTGGGCCATCCTATGGGGAAGTGTCTAAACAAACTGTGGGCTTCTGCTGGCTAAACCTTGGAGTTACAGCGACTTTTACGCACGGCTGTCGTCTGCATGCAGCTGTTTTTTACTTGAATACGCGGGATTGGCTCTCCCTGTGCAACACTTATGATGGCTTTCACCATGCTGAGGCCGGTGTCGACGCATCCCTTCTCTTACCCCGCTGACCTGACCTTGATGTCGGACGACGAGGAGGGGAACCGCAGCGAGAGCGACGGCAGTAGCACGGACCAGGGCTACGGCTGCTGCGGGATTCCGGGGGACAGTTACAGGCTGGAGTCCGGCGGCGTGGTGCGACAGCGGAACGCCGCTAACGCCAGGGAGAGATACCGGACCCAGAACGTCAACACGGCCTTCACGGCGCTGCGGACACTCATCCCCACGGAGCCGGTGGACAGGAAACTCTCCAAAATCGAGACACTGCGCCTGGCGTCCAGCTATATCTCCCACTTGGCCAACGTGCTGGTGGTCGGGGACGGGAGGGAGGACGGCCAGCCGTGCCTCAGTGCCGTGTACAAGGAGGTGAAGGGGGGTGGAGAAGGCAAACAGCCCCGGACTATCTGCACATTCTGCCTCAGCAACCAACGGAAAGGGGTAAAATATTCATTGCATATGCAGAAAAACACTTGTCAGATATATCTCCCAGAACTCCATTTCAAAATGTACTATTTTAACACTTCTTTACTGTTGGCAAGCGTAACACATGCAGCATTTATTATTGTAGATCTTCTTATAATTCACCAGGGTCCACTGTTTAATACCGCGTATATTCAGTATAATATGCAGCTTTTTTAAAATGCAGTTTCAACTTCCATAATTGCTCCGCCTGTCATTCCTGCAAAATGCACAACGGGGGAACCAAGTTGCAGAGTTGATGGACCATTTGTATGCCGAATTTCCAATAAAACCCTAATATTTCTGAAAAAATATATTCATTGATGCATGACATTGTGTGTGTCTTTGTAGATAGAAGAGGTAAACACAAAAGTTGCACATTTATAAATGGGTTCAGCATGAAGGAAGAAAGGCAGGTCAGTGCACCCAGAACGCCAGTTAAATAGTCTGAATATTGATTTTCGAATGCCAGTTAGTGCTGTGAATGAATTCTGGTGCCACATCATAATATGTTTAATGTTCAACATTAAGATTAAAGTGTGTGCTATTTGATTTCAGCATTCTAACATTATTTCATATCATAATTCAGGACTGAGAGCTATGAGTTTTATTGGAAAAATACCATAGACATAATGTATTTGCTTAGCGTTTTTTCAACAGTTCATCAGTACATCAAATTGTTTGACTGGAATAAGTCTGTTCCACTTTAGAGGGAGGTCATATGACACTGTGGGGTCAGAATGAGCTGCATGCACCCCAGTAAAACGGACACGGCCCATCTTGGTATTCAGATGCCTGTGTTGGGATTTAGTTTATTTATAGTTGCCATATCATTCAGTGCATGGAGATATCCTTTAAAGGAAAACTGTGCTTTTATCCACTCTAGACAGATATGTAATTGCACTGAACCTATTTATATGCTCTCAGGAAAGTACATCAAAACATCAGAACTATTTATTTCCATAGGCACACTGTGATGATGTTTGAACTGGCAGTGACAGTTCCCTCTGTGTCCACAGGTGAAAGACAGACGAGACTGTGTGAAAAGGCACGGAAGCAGTGCGAGACAAATAAGTCGACGATGAAACTGGGAGTAGGACTGGATCTCTTCAGAGCGGACCTCCGCCGACCATTCCTAGAGTCTAGAAGCATCTCAGTACCACAACAGCCTTTGAGGACTACTTTGGGTTTTGGGAGTTTGGCTCATTGGACATTTTACCCAGAATGAGATAAGAGGACTGGCGCCAAAACCATCTGTGTGTCACCTGCAGATACAGTAACTCTGTCCAGTGTGATGGCACAAGGGAATATGCAGCCAAAGCTGCAGTATGGTCAGGGATATTCCTTTTTATTTTAATGACCAACTACAGTCAAATTCTACATGATGTGTTGATATTTTGGCCTCTAAGCATAATTGTATATATAAAATCTAAATCTACGGGCCATGGAATACACAACATTACCGGCTCCGGAATAGGTCTAAATCATGAAGAAGTAAGCAAAAGGCTAATCACCTTTTATTACTTAAAAACACAATCCATAATCCAAATGTAAATAAAAGGATATCCTCTCCATTCAAGTTCAAAACAAAGGATTTGAAACAGCTAACTGACAACAAATGATAACTAAATATATACTGTCAAAGTTGTGTGATGTTAGTTAAGGCTTATTTACATAAATAATAGTTACATAGTTATAATAATAATAATAGTCTATAGTTACATATGTGAACTTACAAGTAATTTATATAATTTGATAATGGTCCTTTAAAGCTGCAGTAGGTAATTTTTATAAAAATATTTCATAGTCATATTTGCTTAAACTTTCACTATATCCTGACAGTAGTACATAAGACAGACAATCTGTGAAGAAATCAGGTTCCTCTGGCTCATTCTATTTGTCCTAATGACATTTGTAAGAATCCACCGGGCCTGAACGTAAACAATCAGTCAGAGCCAAGAAAGAAGTGTTGAGTCTCATTCTCAGGGCATCATATACAGACACGTTGGGACCCTGGGATTAAGACTCAACAGTCAACTATCTTCAAGCTTTTAACCCAAAGTGTCTATATCTTTCTCAGCTCTGATTCTTGCAAATGCCATAAGGAGCACTAGAACGAGCCAGAGGAACAAGATTTTTTCACAGATTATCTGTGTCATGTACTACTGTCAAGATATAGTGAAAGTTTTTGCAAATATGACTAAAAGTAAATTTTATACTTACCTACTGCTGCTTTAAATATTGGACGCCAATGTGTTAGCATGACTGCAGCACAGACGGATCTATTAGAGACACTGAGATGCTTTTGGTGCCTATCTTCTAATATACTGTACTTAAGGGTCTGACAAGGCAAACTCCTGCAAAAGTTTGCATCATTTTAAATGATCTTGGGAAGCTAGGCTCACAAACAGACTTGCAGCCGACAGCAGAGCAGCTTCAGGAATGACATTTGAGAGGACAGACCACTCCATCTGCCTAAGCTGGTCATGTGAAGTTGTGTGCGACAGAAGATATCTGTGGGACACTATTTTGTTTGCTTTTTCATTACATGTTGTAATCTACTTTGAAATTAAATTTATTTTTACATAGACCCGACTCTCATGTTGCCTTCAGTGTAATGGTAATGTGTTTTGATGTAGTTCAAGGTTGCAGTGCTTTTGCACATTCTGTTAACAATAGTTTTAAACATTGCACAGAAAATATTCTTGTTGTTTTGTAATTGACGCTTAAGTCCCACCCTTTTTTGCTCCAATAACAGTTGAGCAAGCCTTAGTCAACTTTCTCTTTTCCACTGCAAGCCTAGTGCTCAATTCTGATTTATTGTTTTTTGTTTGGCTGTTCACATTATTTTTTAAATGTGGCCCATATCAGATTTAAATAATAAATAAAATAATTTCCCCCTGGGATTATTAAAGTATTTCTGATTCTGATTCTGATTCTAATTTAATTTAATTTAAGGCCATTGTACTGAAGTATCCATCATTACAATGCCGAGTGATGTAAAAGTCATGTGAATTCTGAATCTGATTTGGACATTATGAAAGTGGTCTGAAATAGAACAGAAAAAATTCCATTTTTTTTGGACTGTTCTGAAATCTGATTTGAGTCACAGATGAGCAAAAAAAAAACGGATTTGTCAATAAATATACATACATATCGAAAAAACAAAATCTGGCACTTATGCAGCATGATGAAAAGAGTGCATCTGGTGGATGTGGGGGTAACCTATCTGGCCACTGAGCATAACCACTCCCAGTTAAAACCCAATATCAGGAGTTGGAGAAATAAGAATATTTCGAATTTGGATTCAAACTAATTTCTACTCATTTTTAGATTCTTTGTATTATGTACATAATAACCTAAATTATACAGTTAGAAGGTCATTGTTGATTTTGGTTTCCAGGAGCTGTAGGTTTTGTTACAGCAGCTGTATCAAACCATAGTAGGTAATGTTGACAAATAATGTTACCAGGAGTCAAATGGATTGGCAATCATAATGAGGTCATGAAAGATTTTAATGATTTTGGGCATAAGAAAGTCAAATATAATTGTGCACACACACTGTGTATATACAGTGCTGTGAAACGATACAATTTTTAGAGGCATAATGCATTTTTTGTGGTGCTGTTGAATTATATTGTCTTATACTTATCTGTTCTCCTCATATTGTGGTCCACCCCATTAATATCAACAAAGGTAGAATAAATATTCATGGAGGCATAGTGCATGACTCTCGAATTAGACTGCATTAGTTTTACATGTGTGGACGTAATGAACTGGCAACTGAATGTATTTTATTATGTTTAACATACTAAACACCCTTTATGCAGATGCTATATCTATTCAAGTGAGATATCTAGAGAGAAAATGCTCTGGTTTAACTGCTTATTACCCCGTGCATACACAAGTGTAAGAGGTTGGCATAACTTTGGTTTAAGGCTTAGGAGTTACTAAAATGCTTGCATGTGAATCCTGAACCATCAGAGATTAGTTTAAGTAAAATTAAAATGAAATCTTGCTGCTCTGTCAGTGACTAATGTGATCTGGAGCAAAGCACTTAACCACAACTGCAGTGGACATGCACAGCAATAAATGGAATCATAGCGGGTAGCTATGACAATAGGATTTTGAATACGATCATAATATAGTGTAACTTTTCTCTGACAAAGTGCTGCTTATTTTAAGTCTAGTTTAAAGTTATTGAAAGAGAATATCAGGGCAGCGCTAAATGTGTTCCATTAAGCACAGCAGGTTGCAGTCCTTCGCAGGCTGCCATACTAGTTGTGAATCATAGCGCTAAACAAGAGTTCAAACAGTGCTTTTTCAAAGACACAAAGAAGCTCTTGTGGGTGCAGAAAGTTGGAGAGAGGTGGGTTGAGAAAAGGAAGAAAGATAAGGACAGACAGTGGAGAGAGTGTGTTTGAGAAAGACAGAAACTCAGAGACAAGAGAACAAGACAGGCAGTCAGTGTCTTCTTCTGGCTGAGTGAGAGAGCACAGGAGGGCAAGGCACTGGAACTCCACACTCAGTCCCAGCTAAGACTTTCTAAATATCTCTTCCTTTCACAAAGATCTCTTTCATATCGTTGGGTCTGTTTCCGCCAAAAGTTTCCCAGAACTAAGCCACGGAAGAAGCTGTCTGTACTATCATTCCAAGGGTATCTGAACAGACTGGAGACAATTAATAAAAAACCAAACCAAAGATAATAAGCAAAAAAGAGTGTTGTAAAAAGTATGATGTGACCTTGGCAGTTTCTTGCACTGAAATATTTGTTATTGAAAGAATCAAGTTTTTTGACAAATATGTGAGAGTGGATATAAATCTAGTGTATGTTTTAAGTATAGAGCTTGAGTCGATGCTTAGCTAGCCTAGCTTAGTATGAAGACTGGAAGCAAAGGGAAATTGGGTGCCAGCATATGAAGCATATACTCTTATCCAAAGCGCTTTACAATTGACCTGACCTAAGTCTATTAAATTAGTCTTTCGACCACTCAATGCGCTGTACACTACATGCCACACTCACCGCATTCACACGTGTCTGCCAACTGCTCAACAAGGAAACTAATCATTCATACACAAGCAATTGGGGGTTAAGGGTCATGCTCAAGGACACTTTGACATGTAGCGAGAGGAGCCGGGGATCAACCAACCTTCTGATTGGTAGACGACCCGCCCTACCTCTGAGCC